AGAGAGAGAGAGAGAGAGAGAGAGAGAGAGAGAGAGAGAGAGAGAGAGAGAGAGAGAGAGAGAGAGAGAGAGAGAGAGAACACTATGACCGTTCCTTTTTCTCTTTCTGCTTGGAAGCAAACAGATGTGACTTAGTATTCAGGGTCATGGATGTATGTGTCAATGTGATGTACTGACCATGCTGGGGTGGGGTTAAGTGCTTATCTCAGGCCTTAACTTTCATCCGAGCTCACTTTGCCTTGTGGTAAGCATTCTTATTTTCAATCAGTAGGTTGAAGGTTCGATGCCTGGAGGGAACGATTGAATTGCGATTTTAAGAACCATTGAATTTCGCGCTTGGAGGCAGTGATTAAGAATGAGCTTCAATGCAACATGCTTTGAGCTCCCGGGAAATTATACCCAGGTTGGTCGGCATGCAAACCCCCTTGAGCTATGGCTTAGGGAGTGGTACTTACTTGGTTGATGTGACTGGGTACACCGGGTCATGGCTGTATGTGATGTACTGACCATGCTGGGTTGGGGTTAAGTGTTCATCTCGGGCCTTAACTTTCATCCTAGCTCACTTTGCCTTGTGGTAAGCATTCTGACTTTCAATGAACAGATTGCAGGTTCTGGAGGGAGATATTGAATTGTGATTTTCATAACCAATGAATTTCGCGCTTGGAGGCAATGATTAAGAATGAGCTTCAATGCAGCATGCTTTGAGCTCCCGAAAAATTATACCCAGGTTGGTCGGCATGCAAACCCCCTTGACCTACGACTTAGGAAGTGGTACGTACTTGGTTGATGTGACTAGGTACACTGGGTCATGGCTGTATGTGATGTACTGACCATGCTGGGGTGGGGTTAAGTGCTCATTTGGGGCCCTAAGTTTCATCCCTGTTCGCTTTGCCCTGTGGTAAGCATTTTGATTTTCAATTAGCAGGTTGCATTTTCGATGCCTGGAGGCTGGAGGGAGTGATTGAATTGCGATTTTCAGAACCATTGAATTTTTTGCTTGGAGGCAATGATTAAGAATGAGGGTCTCGTTAGGCCCTCCTTGAAAATCCTAAGGAATGTCGAAAGTTATGGTTACACCGCGTCCTAAAAAACAAAAATCCTTGAAAAGATGTAAAAACGTCCCCAAGAGATTTCCTTGGGTCCCTCGGAATCCCCAGCCATTGTGTCCTTTGATTCAAGGGGTCCTCGAGAGGTTCCTTGGGCTCAAGGATCCTTGATAGACGGGCCGTCGTCGAGCATGCGTCGTGACGGGAAGTTTCTGTTTTTGCTGGTGCACATGACGTCCGCGGTCCATCCGGCGGACAATATCAGCTTGCTACCGACGGGAGGTCACCAACGACCTTGTGGTGTTACCGTTCGCGCGTACACGGCCGGGGGTCCCGCTTCGGGTGCAACAGACGTTGGAGCGGTGGGGTTCTCCTTCTACGCTTCGTCGGGCGTCGTGTCCAACGGTCAAATATTTCAAAATTTGTTTTATGTACGGGTTGTGATGCTGTCGCCGACCACCCCATTTGCTGCCATTCGCGTGCATGCGTGAGGGTTGTCCGTTCGGGTGGTCATCTACACGTGGTGCTTTTCATGGCAGACATCTACCAGCAGCTACCGCTCCTGTTACTAACATCTCTTCTGCTACTTCTTCTCGTCTTTTTGCGCGCCTTCGTCGTGACGTGGCCTCCTCGGCGTAGACAGAGACGACAAGTGGATAGGAAGATGACAATGGACAGGCGGGACAACTCCGTCGGACAGCAGAGACGTGTGATGGATTTCTCCATTCCTGATCGGCCCCGGTCCGGCCATCGACCCGCCACATATGACCCGTCCTTGTACAGTCACCTTCCACCGCACGAAGAGCCGCTACCGCCGGATCCGGAGGACGCCTGGGTTGAGGATCTGTCGCACACACTTCCTCTGGGCAGTGGATCTACGCATGAGTGGACGAGCAGGAAGTGCCGGCAGAGGGAAGCAGGGACCACGCGCGAGTCGTTCACCGCATTGCTGGAGGAGGGTGTCGACAACGCCGCCACGAAGCGTGTGGACTTGGATTTCAGATTGTGCAGCGGGAGTGGTGCAAGTGGTCCGATCCACGGCGGGCGGGTGGTGGGATCGCCAACGTTGGGAGGAGGATCGTCCCATGTCGGTGGGCCGACGAATGGGTGTCGTCCACCGGTCCCGAGTTCCATGGGCGCCGGGCCATTTGGCGAGTCGTCGAGGTCAGTGACACCCATCCGCCCCTCGGTGTCTTCGCCTGCAATGCGGCAGAGGGCGACCGCAAGTGCTGCAATCAATGATGGGACTCCACCGGAAGACATCGGGAGGCACGCGTGGGAGAACTGCCGCCTACAGATGCGGCGTGCTGGCACGGAGAACATAACCACCGGTGTGTCCAGGATTCGTGTGGGGAGCGACGTGGATGCGGACGATAGCCGTCGGGCGAGTGGGGACGAGTCTTCGGATTCTCGTTGCGAAGACGACGCGGAAGACGGTGAGGTGCTGGAGATCCGACCCATGGCTGCGCGTGGTGGGCGGAGGGGAGGACGCAGACGTCAGCAGAGGGGCGAGTCGCGTGGTGGCCGAGGATCGAAGGCTCTTGTGGGCGACAAGGGTGGCAAGCACCCAGCTTGGAGTGTGGAGGAGATGCAGAAGCTCGCTCGAGCGAAGCGGGATCAGCAAGCTCATTTCGAGGGAATGCCACACAACTACGGCCGCATGCGCAACAGGGAGTGGAAGCTGCTGGACCTACAAAAGTGGTTGGCGGAGGTCGGAGTGAACAGGACAACGAACGACATTGGGAAGAAGTTTGACAACGTCTTCCAGCAGTACAAGAATTTGCAGCGTTACCAGAACATGTCCGGTGGGAATAACTTCTTCACATTAACTCTTGCAACGAGAGCGGACGAGGGTTTCAACTTCCGAATGGATGAGCGAGTCTTCAATGAGATCGACAACATGTCGAAAAAAAACAAGACCATCTACCCGGACAACGTGGCAGACACGAGCGCCCGCGGAGGAGTGCCACCAACAATGGATGGTCACCGCCAGGCGGTCGTTGGTGGAGAGTCCTCTGCTGGTGGAGAGGGGGGTGATGGCGTTGACGAAGATGTGGGTTCAGCGCGGGAGACGGGGTTTAGTGCAGGGAGCACGGGCACTCCAGCGAAGAGGAAGAACATGCGGCAGCAGACCTTCGACGCCATCGCCGAAGTCATGGACAAACACGGTGCATTGATGGCGGACATGGTAGAGAGTGTGAGCAAACGGCAATGTAGCATCCTTGAGCGACAGTGTGACATCCTCGACCAGGAGGTTGAAGCCCAAAAGTGGTAGTGTGACATACTGGAGAGGCATTACACGACGTCCGATGAGGCGAACGTGATGATGTGCACGACGTTGATGGAGATTGCCAGAGCGATAAGGGATAGATCTTGACGCCGGTGGCGTGAGGTTTGTCAAGCCGTTGAGGTGGATTCGCCCGCGACCTGGCCCGTCGCGAAATGTGGTGCCGGTCCTCCGACGGCGACAGAAATCTAGGAAACAAGGCGGGGGATGGTGTGCGCAATGGCCGTCTACCCTCGCGCGCTTCGAAATGTTGAGTCGCTCACTCTCCAGGGCACGGCCGTCCATTCCCCGGACCGCATTGTCCCTTGGTATTTGGGGTGGTCTCCCCCCATGCGGAATGGGTGATCGTCGCTGTCGTCGCGTGGAGGGGTGTGCTGGAGGCCGTTCGGGCGGGATCTGCGCGCCGAGGGAGGGAAAATGTCACCGCGAGCACTGTAAAGGTCCGCGCGAGCGCTATCTTCTCCCAGTCTTTTGCTTCTCGACTGCGCGCAAGGCCACGCGTGGGGTTCCCGCTGTGCTGCGCGGGGAGTTGAACATCGCCCGCGCAAGACGATCTCTAGCGACTTCCTCTCGTGCGCTGCGGCAGTCCGTTTTCGTTTACGGGGCGTGTGCATCCGATTGTCAGCGAATGGCGCCTCGTTGCCAGCAGAAGGCGAAACGTCCACACGGTGGTTCCGGCAAAGCAGGTGCAGGGCAAACAGGAAGGGGCCACATCCCAAAGTCGAAGAAGCTCCGCGCAGGAGACGGGTCGGAAGGAGAGATGGGGGTGACGGGGGAGAGGAGGAGACGCCTATGGACATCACTTGTGCAGGGACGCCTGTGCTCGGGTTCGGGCGTGACGGTGTGAGCAGGCAGCGTATGCTTGCGCTCACCAACCTTGGCGTCCTGACGTCCACGCGCGGCGGCAGTGGCGGGACGACTCGTGCGCAAGGAGTTTCGTCCGGTGACATTCCGCCGCAGAGGGTCGTGGGTTCTGCATATACCATTGCATCCGTGTCCGAGCGTGGCGAAAAAGCTCCGGTAGGTGAGTCTCCATCGCGCCACGTGGAGGCGTCGAACCCGACGATCATCGCCGCTTCACCGAGGGCTGTGCTTCAATTCGCGCAAGCAGCGAGCGCCGCTATCCATGCCGCCGCCCTCGGTGTTGGAGAAAGGCGAGAAGATCGGAGGGTGGAAGAGGCGAGGAGAAAACATGAGAGGAGGGAGGAGACTCCGTGCGGGGAAGAAGAGGACGACCAGCCTCTGAGCGCGAGGAAGAAAAGGTCCCGCCAAGAGGAGGAGTTGGAGGCGAAATCGAAGTTGTGGGTGGACGGCAATGCATTCTGGGCAACCGGCCCCGGACGGATGATCGTGGACAAGGTGCATTCCTACGCGGACTACTTCTGCGCGATCGTCAATGGAAATGCAGGCGCTTGCACTCCGAAAGGCCTCATGATGCCACCCCCCGAAGTCCCGCGCGAGCGGATCGAAGATGGCGCGCAACGAGAGCCAGCTCTCAGACGGGCGAGACGAACGGAGAACGTGGCAATGCGCGTCATCCACGGATGGATATTCAGGTCGTCTTCAAGGTCCGATGGGTTCGCCCGCGCGGAGTCCTACGTCGCCACAGATTACCCCACCGACCTGGCGAGAGAAATTTGGCAGAGCTAGGAGTGGCCGAGGATAGTGCCACCCGCCGTAGTTTACCACATAGTCGCTTTGAAGATGGACATCCCAGTGTGGTTCGCCGGGGCGTATATCGAGAATAGGCCGGAGGACGATGACATGGCCGCGCACCAGAAGGCGACTGTGATGCATCTTGCGTCATGCTTCCACGACGCGCTCTAGGCCGGGCAGTGGTGGGATGGCGGTAGATTGTCACACCAGAGAGTGAGCAGAATCGGGGATGTTTTCCACCTGCTTCTCGCCGCATGCATGTGGATCATGCGCATGGGAGGCGACGATGCGCGCTCCTACGACGAGGCGTCATACTACGCGCAGCTGGTGGCGAAGCCGACTCTCGTGGTGGCGTGTTCATTGTCCTTCAACTGGCGCCGCCATGTGATGCACTCGACGAACGCGGTCTTGAGTCGCCTGCGGAAGCCACCGTTGACGCTGGGCGCTTTCCCTGACTACATCCCGGATTGGGCTTCGTGCGGAGTGCGGTACAACTGCAATGCTGGTCTGGCGGACCCCTACGTCACGGCGAGAGTGGACTGGATGGGGACGGGACCTTTTGAAGGCGATCAGAAGGAGGACGGGACAAATGACGAAACGGGAGCGTAAGTGTCCTCGATATGGCCGTCTTGCGTGACAAGGAAGAAGGAGGACGGGACAGATGACGAAACGGGAGCGTAAGTGTCCTCGATATGGCCGTCTTGCGTGACAAGGAAGAAGGTATCACCCATGTAGTGAAGCGGTCCGTCATCAAGGTTTCGACATGGCGGGAAATGGAAGTGCCGGATCGGTAGGGGGTGGATTGGACGGGGGGGAAGGGAAGG